TTGCACCCAGACTGTAGAGAGCCTTAAATAGCAGGCCAAGAAGGCTGGATTTTATTCTGAAGGCACTCAGGAACCACTGAAGGTTTTAGAGCAAGGATGTGACATAATTGGAAGCTGTAATATGGAAAATTATTCTGGAAAGAGTTTATGGCAGGGTATATAGTGAGGGTTAGTGGTGGTAGGAAGGACCAATCATAATTATCTAATCTTTCTAGTGCAGTTCTTAAAACAAAGGCTATATCAAAAATCTCAACAGCACCATCTAGTGCCTCAAAACGTAACACTGCCCAGTGTGGGGAAAACCCAATACAAGGCTAACAAAAAAAGACTAGATTAAGTTTAGGCAGTTTCTCTTTCTTCCATAATTGCACCTGAGTTCAGAGAACAAGTGGTGAAAGAGGCAGGTAACTGGAGAGCAAGCTGAAAAATAATGCAGAGGTTGGGAATAGTGAACTAATTTTTTGCTGTAATATTAGATATCCACCCTCAGGATGATTCATCTTCAATTTTTTATCATATACCAACAGTTCTTGGTGAAAATAATGGCATTTTTAATGAAAATAAAGAGTAGAACAACTAGCCAGGATGGATGGATGACACATCTTCACAGCAAATATAATTGCTAGCAGTAGTAAGTCCAAGAAGTTACATCCCACCTATAACTACCATAGCTGTCTGTTTCTGTATGCCTAATGCAGACACAAGATCAGACCCCTCCATTGCTGGCAGTTCTTCTTGCATGCTCAAGCAGTCTTCTCACGTTACAAACCCCAACTCCTCTCTTACAAGGGAGCAAGAGCTGTACAGAAGGCCAACAAATTAGACTTCAATTGAAGGTTATCTACCATATTATATGAATTGCTCCCACTTTCTTAAAGAACGAAGGAAAAGAATCTGGAGGAACACTAAAATCACTGCTTCCACACTAACTTATCCTCATTTCTCTCTGATCGGAGCTTGTTTATTACTCTGATTGACTGTCTTGTTATAGGTGAACTAAGCTAGACCAAGGAACAAAATCTTGCTATAACAGAAATGACTATGTAGTGTCGAACAGTTAGACTTTGAGTGTGAGTCTAGGAAGAGAACAAGGATGAACAGCCACAACAGTATTCTTACCCAGAAAGTATATTCCAACTAGTTATGGTACATCTTTCCTCAGAGCCTTAATTTACGGTACAGATTTTTGAAATGCATTTCACCTATTTGGAACTATTTTTCTCATTAAAATAACTGGATGGTTTCTAAAATTTGTCCAGCCTTAGTGTTCTGTGGCTCTAAATAGAGTTAACCATGTTCTAGATTAAGATTATTTCCCAGGAGAGAGAGTTCTATTAATAACAAATCTGATTATTCTCCCTAGGTAGGAGCATCACCCAATAGATGTTACCTAGCAAGTCCTCTTCTTGGGAGAACCATGCTTTTTCACTCAGATTTTATTTTCCAAAAGAATTCAGTGCTCTTCCAATAGATAGATGATAAGTAGATTGATGATGATGATGATGATGATAAAGAGGTAGATTGAGATAGATAGATAGATGATAGATGATAGATAGATAGATAGATAGATAGATAGATAGATGATAGATGATCAATAGATTCACATTTATAAAACTACTATTTTTAGAGATTTTCTCTAATTGAAAAACTCACTTAAAAGGAAGATTTATAGAATAGTCCTAGAGTAATATGACTTAAAATAAGGCAGAGCTATTTTAGCTAGGTCTTTAAGATTAAGAGGAAGTCCATCAGGCAAACATAGGTGGAAAAGGAGGAGAAAGAGTGCCTATAGGACCCAAACCCTTCTCCTGGGGTCAAGGTACAGCTGAATCCTTCCTCATTGCCCCACAACCCTTGCTTCCCTCCATGGTCAAAAAATATACATAGTGACATTATAAAGTGAAACCTTAGTACCTCCTGTAATTTATGGCCTGGTAAAAATTGACAAGATTTTTTATATATATATATTGTAGGCACCAAGCAGACATTCCTAGAGAAACATGGATGGAGTTGGAAATCTGACAGTATCTTCTGCCAGTAATAACACATGCAATGACACTATTGATGACTTCCGCAATCAAGTGTATTCCACTCTGTACTCTATGATTTCTGTTGTGGGCTTCTTCGGCAATGGCTTTGTGCTCTACGTCCTCATAAAAACATATCATGAGAAGTCAGCATTCCAAATATACATGATTAATTTAGCAGTAGCAGATCTACTGTGTGTGTGTACACTGCCTCTCCGTGTGGTCTACTATGTTCACAAAGGCATTTGGCTCTTTGGTGACTTTCTGTGCCGCCTCAGCACCTATGCCTTATATGTCAATCTCTATTGTAGCATCTTTTTTATGACAGCTATGAGCTTTTTCCGGTGCGTTGCAATTGTTTTCCCAGTCCAGAACATTAATTTGGTCACACAGAAAAAAGCTAGATTTGTGTGTTTTGGCATTTGGATTTTTGTGATTTTGACCAGTTCTCCATTTTTAATGTCCACATCTTACAAAGATGAGAAAAACAACACCAAGTGCTTTGAGCCTCCTCAGGACAATCAAGCTAAAAATTATGTTTTGGTCTTGCATTATGTGTCATTGCTTGTCGGATTTATCATTCCTTTTATTATTATAATTGTCTGTTATACAATGATCATTTTAACCTTGCTAAAAAATTCAATGAAGAAAAATCTATCAAGTCGGAAAAAGGCTATAGGAATGATTATAGTCGTGACAGCTGCCTTTTTGATCAGCTTCATGCCATATCATATTCAACGCACCATCCACCTTCACTTTTTACACAATGAAACTAAACCCTGTGATTCTGTCCTTAGAATGCAAAAGTCAGTGGTCATAACCTTGTCTCTGGCTGCATCAAATTGTTGCTTTGACCCTCTCTTATATTTCTTTTCAGGGGGGAACTTTAGGAGAAGGCTGTCTACATTTAGAAAGCATTCTTTGTCCAGCATGACTTATGTACCCAAGAAGAAGGCCTCCTTACCAGAAAAAGGAGACGAAATACATAAAGAATAGTATAAGCCCATCTCCAATGCAAATCCATGAAAAAGAGTTTCCCAAGCAAGTATTATCTCAAAACATTTACAACAAAAATAAGAATTTCCATTAATAATTCGCAAGTACTAAAATGAATGTGTGCCTGTAAATCTATCTCATTTATGCATCCACATTATTAGAGGTCCTACAGATATTTTGAGTGTTGAAAATTCAGTCTACAACTATTAATTAAATTAATTGTTTTTAATCATTTGCCAGAAGGTGGAGAATATTTGTCTGTTGGCACTATAAAAAATGAGTCCCAGATTAAGGTTTTCCCCCTCAAATAAAATCTTTAAAAGGATAAGAACTAGCCTTTTAAGATATAAAGTTAGCAAATAGTTCTCAATCATACTAATATATCTCTTTGTGCACATGCCATCAGATGAGAACTGGAATGACCCAAGAGCTACATAAAATGTACTGTCACCCTCTTCCTTTGTAGAATTGACTTGCTAGGCAAAATAGGGCTATTTCTTCAAGAAGAGAATGTGCAAGTGCTGGAAGAGCCTAGTATTCAGCCAGATGTCCCTAAAGGCTCCATGCAATGTACAGTCTGAAAACTGAGGAAGGTTAACCTGGTCAAAGGCTCATTTGTGTTCAATTTTCTTCTGCTCCTGCCTCAGGCCCGCCAAAGGAGAATGGTGGGATTTTTGTTGCTTATTGAAGTTCTTATAGGGAATTCTCCTCCTACACAACACATAGACCTTCCTTAAGAAATCAGAGACAACTGGCATTCCTATATTTGAATGGGAATAATTAAAAATTTATCTAAAGAATATGAAAAGGGGTCTACTTTTCTACATGCTTATTACTAGAATTGAAATTAACTAAAATGGGTTTCTAAATAAAAATTTGAATGTTGATATTACAAGTTGTTTTAAGTACTTATATTTATGCATATGTGTATAACTATATATATATGTAAGAGATTTTGCTCTATGATATGCATTTATTAGTGGAAGTTAATTATAAACTTTATTATTGTTTTATACTTTTTACTTTTTTATTGGAATATTGACAGGAATATCAAGGATATGTTTACAGTGGTTTTTATAGTGGAAGCTTTGTTCTTAAAACAGGATAAACAACTTGTTTATGGCTGAAATATAATATTCGTGAACAAGCTCTTGCCGAAGTGTGGTCTGTTCCTTAATTCTGTGTTTCAAAAGGCACATTACATCAGAGGAAATAAATGATAATGGTGAAGAAAAAGGAAAGTTATGAAAGAAGTTCTTTCTGAATCCGTCATGTGTATGTTATTTCTATTTTACTTCTAATGCTGCAAACCCTTAGGAAAAAAACTCAAAACATAAAGAGAGAGGGCCTCTAAGGCAGCAGTTCCCAACCTTTTTGGGACCAAGGACCGGTGCTCCTATGAGAATCTAATGCCTGATGATCTGAGGTGGAGCTGAGGCGGTGATGCTGGGGAGCAGCTCCAAGTATAGATAAAGCTTCGCTCGCTCCCCCGCCACTCACCTCCTGCTGTGCGGCCCAGTTCCTAACAGGACACAGAGTGGTACCAGTCTGCAGCCCAGAGGTTGGGGACCCCTGAAGTCTAAGGCATAGTAATAACTAATGCCTATTTATTTTTGTTTAACATACCTGAGATTTGGCAGTACCTATACTTTTACACTAGACTATCTTTTCTTTGACTGAGACGAAAATCAAATGTAATATTTATCATAAAAATCTGTCCTCATTTCTCATTTACTAAGCTTTCTGTCACTCAGTAAGTATAGTGTGATATAAGAGCACTACATTGGAAGCCAGAAGACCTGGATATCCATTATTTAGTGGTATAACTTTAAGCAAGTGACATAAACTCTGATCCTCAGTTTCCTAACTTTTAAAATGGAAATAATACTTGTCCTGCCTTTCTTGCAGGACATTTCTGAAATTCAGATGTGATCATAGCATACATACATATGTTAATATACATATATTAAAGGTTTTTTTTGTAGGCTGGGAGATAAATGAATAGAGTAATATTTTCTATCCAATTATTTTTCTTAGCCTGTTTCAATGTTCCAAAGTTTAAAGTTTTACCTTAAAAATATACAATGTGATATAATTTTAAAGTATTTAGAGATGGTTTTGTTACTTAAATATACTGATTCATATTTACTATACAAATTTTAAATTTTGAAAGAATTAGAACAAAATATGACCATAGTTAAATTCTATTGCACATAAAAGAATCTTGTTATTTACCTATTCCTACCTCCATATTTTTGCCTACATTCTCATTTCCACTCACTGTTCTACTTCCTCCCACACAGAAACATACCATACATCAGTCACCTACAAGGTCACCATGAATTTGTTATTTAATATCATATGAATTTATAACATATACCACACTGTTAAGTACTTAATTTTTTCCCCAATTTTCCCATTGTGTTAGTATTTTCTCCCAAAATGGAATCATCACTTTGTGGAATTATCAATACCTTGAAGTTGAAAACTACGCCTTTAAATTGTATCGCCTAATATTTATTGAACTTCTACTCTGTTTTAAGTGCTTTATCTGTATCAATTCATTTAATGCTTAAAACTGCCTTGTGATGTAGGTACCATTATTACCCCTGTTTTCCTCATTTAAAAACTGAAGCATAAAGAAGTTAAGTAATTTGCCCAATGTCAGATAGCTGGTAAGCATCAGAACCAGGGTTCAAATCTAGGCAGTCTGACTCCAGAACTCAGGTTCTTAATTTGTTATGCTATCCTTCTGGACCATTTTCCACCTTCAAAGTGTAAGCAAGCGTCTTTTAAATGATTTATTTGTTCATTTTAAAAAACAGATTTATTTAAACTATATGCTTAAATTTTTTAACTACATGAACACATGAATCATGACCTTTAGCTTATCATTTTATTTCGAAGAACATCATGAGAATATTATATACTATCATAGAACACTGACATTAGAAGGACTTTCATGTTTATAATTCCTAATGGCTATATAATATCCTGTGGTATTAACATGCCAGTCTTCACACACATTCCTTGGTCTCTAATGGTCCTTTCAAACTTTATCAGCTAGCCAAGCTCTCTTTCATTACACACTTAGATTTTTATTCTGTTAAGCCAATATAGTTGCTGTATCTCAAAAAATGATTTCATATTTTAAATCTATGCTTTGTACTTTAGTCTCCAGAATAAATGTAAATGGTTTTGTGTACTGAGACTATAAACTTTGGTATTCTCGGTTGTCAAATTTTTCTGGCTTTTCACTCAAATGACTTTATTTTTGTATTTTAAGTGACTTTTAAATGGCTTTTTGAGATAATTAAATATATCTCTCAATATCTACTTCTTCTAACCTTTTAGTAACTCTAATGGTATAAAATTCAGAAGCTTGGAAAGGTGAGATTAGATATCAGAAAATATAAATTTGTGGGCCTTTTTTAGTAAGGAAGTAGGGGGAAAAAGCTCACTTATTCTATTCTATTTCATGTGCATAACCTGGGTTAGATTGCCTTTGCTTGATTGAAAATAGCAAAATGTTTTCAAGACGCCAAACCCAAAACATTTTCTTTGATCCCTCCTGGAGTTCTGTTACCTCAGATAAATCACAAGACCAATTCTAACTCCTCATTCATCTGTTCATTACTTCTCTTTTCTCTGCACTGTACATAATCCCTTAATATATCCCTTCATGATAATTCTACTAAATCCAAGAATGTTTCTATTCTAAATTACAAAAGCATAAATTAAATTTTATCAAACAGATTTACATGGATCACTTCCTCAACTGACATTTAAACTTGTATGTCCAAGTATCTGACCATTATAGTTTCTCTTGATAACTAGTTACTTGATCTAGGAATTTTGAATCTCACTAGCACTATCTTGGAATTTTAACACAACTAAATTATCCTTATGGAAAACTGCCCTCTGGCAAAGAAAGTTATATTATTAACTATACGAAAAAATAAAGGTTTTCTATTGTCAGTTTCTTTGTACTCTGGGTAGACAAAAATGATCCTTTCGTTCCTCTTAAATATGACTACATTTGTTTTGATGTGGTGGCTTTTTTTCACCTTGCTAACTTGAAATATTAATGGTCTCTTGAAGGCACAGGCAGACATGAAAATTAAAGATTATAAAATGTCTAAAAGCTCATAAAAACAGATTATTCTTCCTGCAACTTTGGCAAAGAGTAATTCAAATTACTACCTAATTCTAGACTCCCTTAAAAAAAAAAAAAACTTCAAACAACTGACAAAAAAAAAGAGAAAGTTTATCCCCTTTTGTTTTTCCACATAGTTTTCATTTTTACTAGATAATGGTTATAATTCCTCAGCTTAAGATTTGGCTCTTTCCTCCACTCAGAGAAGAATTTTCATTGCTAAAGGATCACCATGAAAGCTCTTCATGTATCTCGATTTTTTACTTAAATCTAATTATTAAAACTAATGTCTTCAAATCTAACTATAAGAGCATTCCAAAGCAGATCCTGTAGCCCTGTGGGGCTTAATTTCTGACTCTGCCTTTTTCCACTATGCCACACTTAGTACTCAGCCTGACATCTTGAATATCTACCCTTTCTTCCCCTGTTTTGGAAGGATGCTATCAACACTCTATATTCTAATTTTGTCAGAATATTGGAAGAAGCCTAAATCTCCTTGATTCAAGACACTTAGAAGCTAGTGTATTAAGAGAAAACTTGGGCTTTTCTCAAGGCTGTAATAATTAAGAGTCCTTAAATGTGGATGTTCATATCATTAGAAAACTTCAGGAAGCACTTTGGAATGCTTGAATGAAGCAACTTGAGGTGATATTAGGATCATATGTACCCAGGGACATTCAAGAGAGCACCTAGATAGATAACAGAAGTTTCTGGTTAGTTTGTGTAGTCTCTTCCCTGATCAACTGTATTCTTCATCAATCAAACTTAAAATATCCATTTGGTCTCCTGGCTTTTTTGCCGGAGAAAAACAATATTGACTTGGCAATAGTTAATAATAGTAATACCTGCTTGCTATTTCACTTGACTATAAATTATCAATTGGTTTTCTGGTAAAAATTCTTCTATGGTTACTTTGGGCAACATAAGCCAGTTTCCCAGTTCCTTATCTCTCCTCTCAGCCCCAGCTCAGCACTGGACAAATAAGTTGACCAAGGATGGAATTTTCTAGAACTAAGGCTTTGGAAGTGCTTCCCCACTCTGGAATAGAGAAAAAGTGCAATCTAAGGTCTTACTTATCAAGCTATTCCTCAATACACAAATGGTATATCTGGTAGTAAAAAACATACTATAATCACCTTGAAAATGTCTGCCAATAACTTTTGAATATTTTAACTAATCAAAAATTATATAATCTGAGAATTGGAAAGACCCTTAGAAGTCACATAGCCTAGATTCTTGTACTTTGAGTTCCACCAAAGCTTTCTGCCAAGTGGTAATTTAATGTCTTCTGTAAATGATGGGGAACTCACTACCTCCTGAGATAGCAAAGAAAAGAACTAGTCTAGAGTTTTCTTTGCTGGTATCAGGAAAAAATATACAGAAAAAATAAATTACAGTTTCTGGTCTGATATGTAAAGAACATGAAAGTTGACATCCCCACAACAAGGAAAAAGCTGAACGATTTGAAAATAAACAATTCTCTTTAGATCCATCAGAGAATTGAGGTCACAGGGCAAGCTGACACCCTCAAAATCTGAGAAACAAATGAACACATAGAATTACAGCTTACCAGGAACAGAAGCCCAGGACCAGAAATATGCCATTGTAGAAAGTACTGGTAAGAACACTTAAACTTTGGTTGACAAATTGCTGGAGGCTTAGTGAAGATAATCTTGTGAGCTAAAAATCCAGGGTGCCCAGTCTTAAGGGGACCACCACACTTCTATGAGATTTACCTTTAGGAGCCTAACAAAGTTTGCAAGGTAAATATCAGACAAAAAATCCCCTCTTGTTTTCTGAGTTGGGGAAGAAAAAAGGTAGCCATTGTGAAATATGCCCAGAGTGCTTTGTTCTTCTTAACAAAACCTTGCCCTCAAGGAAAACTATTTTGCCAGAGAATAATTAACTTGGGTTTACCAGGGCATAACTGACTTGGGATAAGGGAAATATCCAGTTCCAGCCTCCTCTAGTCTTCCTATCTCACCTAAGGAGGAATGAAAATTGAGAATAACTAGTGAAAACTGAGACCTCATCATAAAACTACAGAACAACTCTCTGCCCCCCCATATCTTAACACTACATTAATCAGTCTCCTGTATAACAGCAGATTACAGCTGAAAGAATGGCAAGTATCAGACCTACTTAAGGAAGTGTCTCTAGGAAAACACAAAGACAACAGGAGAGACAAAAAAAAAAACAACACTAAAGGAAATTTTAGCCTTGAAGGCCAACAGCCAAGGCAAAAAATAGTAAACACAGACTAACTCCTAGCCAGATAAACATAAAACCTCACAACAGAGGCCTATTTAACTCAATTCTTTTTACCAGATATATTATATCTGGCTATCAACAAAAAATTACAAGGCCCACTAAAAGGCATGAAAAAACATGATCTGAAAAGACAAAGCAAGCAATGGAACCAGACTAAGATGTAGCTACAATAGAAATGAAAAATGCTTTTTGTGGGCTTTTCAGTAGACTACAAATGTTTGAGGTGAGAATCAGTGATCTTGGAGATATGTCCATAGGAATTTTCCAAATTGAAAAGCACAGAGAAAAAAAGAAAAACACAGAAAATATCCAAGAAATGTGGGACAATTATAAAAGGTGTAGCATATGCACAATGGTAATAACACAAGGAAAAGAAAGAGAACTAAACAGAATAAATCTTTATAGTAATATCTGAGACTTTTCCAAAATTAATAACAGATATCAAACCATAGCTCCAGGAAGTCCAGAGAACATGAAGCAAAATAAAAATTTTAAATCTAGGGGTGGGTGAGGTTAGAGGCTGGTTCAAGATGGTGATGTAGGAAGATTCTGAATTCATCCTCTCCCACACATACACTAAATCTACAGCTACTTATGGAACAATTTTCTATGAAAAAAAAAAAACAGTTGAGCAACAACTTACACATCAG